GATTTCGGTATCTAGACAGAATGAATTCATTATGTTTTATAAATGTTTTCTGATCTAATCATATCCTAACTTTTCCTGTTTTGTGAAATACTGATTTGTAAATAAGATTTTTTTCTATAAATAAAAGACAACAGTTTTACTGCATGTTGTCAAAACAACTGAGGAAGTAAAAAATGGTCACAGGAATTTGTATTTTTAATGTTTTCCTGAAATTGGGTCAGGTAGTTTTGTTGTGAAAACACGTTTTTCTTCAGTGACAAAAATCTGTAACTGGGACACCTAGGAAAAAAATTCTGGTTTTTTTCCAAGCATCATTTGCAAGTTAAAGGATAAAACAAAGACCTTAAATCAGAGGAGTGTTTGCTTCTGTATTTGGCAGGCTGCACGAACATTCTTGTCCTGTTAGTGTGCAGTAGGCTGGGTGATTAATCTTTCTCTGAATGTCCGAGTTACCTTTTCATGGTCCAGGCAGTGTCTCCCATGGAAGGACTCTGCTCTTGTTCATCCAGGCTGGCAGTTCTGATAGAGGCCAGTGGGTGTATCTCCTACTGTGGCTGCTGTCCAGGGACTGGTAGTTGAGGGAGCAAGATGACTTTGGCTGCTTTTTGGTTTGGTTTCAGTGATGAAACCACTTTCTCATTAGAAAATTTGCCTGGGATCTTGGTGGTCCAGGGATGCTTAAGAGTTTCATGGGGACTTGGTCTGGTTACCGAGTAGAGCTCCGGACAGGGAAGGGTCCTGTGAGGAGCAGCTGAGGGAGCTGGGGGGGTTCAGCCTGGAGAAGAGGAGGCTCAGGGGAGACATTATCGCTCCCTACAACTCCCTGAAAGGAGGGTGCAGAGAGGGGGGTGTCAGTCTCTTCTCCCAAGTGACAAGTGATGGGACAAGAGGAAACGCCCTCAAGTTGTGTCAGGGGAGGTTTAGATTGAATATTAGGGAAAATGTTAATAAGCTGCTGCCTGCATTCTGCAACAGGGGTGATGTTCCTCCACCTTTGAATTAACGCAGTGCAATTGATGGGAAGGGTTTCTGTTTTCATCCTTTTCAGGGCTTTGTTTCTACGTTTCCCCATTGTCAGGGAGGGGTAAGGAGTGATCCTCTAAGTACCTGAAACACATCTTTGCCACAGCTCCTGTTCTTCAAGTGACTGTGGGGCATGTAGAAAGGGGACTTAATTTTGGATAAACCATGAACCTCTGGCTTCTCAGACACTGAAAGTTTGATTTAAGCTCATTGATCAAACATATTTCAAAACCAAAGTTAGGGCAGCTCCATCATGAGAGGTGACTACCAAGTTAGGGGAAAGAAATAGGGGACCGTATGTGTTGGAATGGAGGTGAGGATGTCAGTCTTGGGCAAGATAAGTAGGGAAATGGGGGATCAACGTATACCTGATTTCTTTTATCCTTGGTTCTGCTGCCAGCACAGTACTAACGTGGGAAAATGTGAAAGGTCTTTCCTTAGGCTGGATTTGATTATGACAGGAACCTTCCTCTCCACAGCAGGTAATCATGGACGTTGACACCCTGCTGACAGAAATCTGGCTTCTGCTTTAAATAAAGAGAAACAACTTCTGCCTTCTTATATCATGTGGGTTTTTGCTAAAACCTGAATATGCCTGCTTTAGAGGAGAACGTGGAGTGGGACAAAATGAACTGACCAGTTTGCATATGGTGTGACTGTAGTTGCTGTTTGTTCAGACTGTCAGATGAATCGGAGGAGAGCAAGTCTCTTGCAAATGTAGTTGTTTAAGAAATTACTTCTCCAGCTGTTCTGCTGTTTCATTGACATCGGGTCTTTCTGTGCTGTGGGAAAAAGTGATTCTCAGCCAGGGATAGTTATCTCTGGGGTTGGTGACATGTTCAATGGATTTATCATGGATCAAATGTTTTTTCTATGATATGTCAGATGTGCACGACTTCAATGGTAAACACTTGGCAGGTGTGTGTTAAGCATTTCTTTGAGAACTGTTAATTCTCAAGCGTATTTTTGTGTTTGTTTAGAATTCTAGATTTAGATCTGGTCGTTAGAGATGAAGATGGCAACATTTTGGACCCAGAGCAGACCAGCACAATCAGCCTTTTCAGAGCACATGAAATAGCTTCTAAACAAGTTGAAGAGAGGCTACAGGAGGAAAAAGTATGATATACTTCCCTGTACCTTTTCCCTTTGAAACCTAAGACTGTAAACTAACTAGGAGACTTACTTTCAGCATTGGTAATGAAGAATTCGATATATTTAGGAAGAATTAATCAGACTTAAACATTTTGTAAGGACTTGTATGTCTTGTTTAATTGTTCCTTTTACTCCTTAAAGGGCTTAGTAGAATTTATGGTTAAACCTATACCCGCAAGTTGACTACTTTTGTAGGGTAGTATCAGAGATGCCTGTGTAGCGGGTTTGTATTAGGTTGTGATGAGGGTTTGTTTTTGAGAATCAAGTAGAATAATGTCCTCATTATGTGTCTGGTTTCTGTATGCCAATCGTGAAATTTGTTTGCTGAAATACAGGAGGCAAATTTTTTAAGTTAAGCTTAAGTTTCTTTTGTTCTTGAATTGCAGTCTCAGAAACAGAATATCGATATCAACAGACAAGCCAAGTTTGCTGCCACTCCTTCATTTGCTTTATTTGTAAATTTAAAAAACGTAGTCTGTAAGATAGGAGAAGATGCTGAAGTTCTGATGTCTCTGTATGATCCTCTGGAATCAAAATTTATCAGGTGAGTGCACTTCCTATAGTAGTGCGGTAGTTTTGAGGGATGAGAGGGCTTAGGAAAGTCAAATTTCTGTGAAAGGCCTAGGGGCAGGGTCATGTGGGAAACAACAGTGTGGCAGCACTTTGCTGTGTTCAGCACAGCGTTAGGCAAGTCCCTTCACCTTGGTACGTTTCAGGGTTGCGCTGTGCCTGTGGTTCCCCAGGTGCAGAGTGTAAATGAGACGTGAATGTGCCTGCAAGGCTGCGTGCCCTCACTTAGCAGCAGCCTTGGCACTACTCCGAGTTCTGTTTCTGCACCCACGGCTGCCTTAAAGAAATTCTTAATCTCTGTTGCTGAGTTTTGCTTTATTTATAAGTGATGTACACAAAGGCAGCTCTCCCCTAGGTAAATATTCGTTTGTTTAGGATAAATAGATTGGGTTTAAAATAGCCTTCTGTTAATTCTGAAGTTGATTTTATCTGCTTATGTTAAAGGAAGCCATTTAAACAAAAAGTCCTCAAAATATTGTTCTTTCAGTGAAAACTACTTGGTGCGATGGTCTAGCTGTGGACTCCCTAAGGATATAGACAGACTGCATAACCTTCGAGCAGTATTCACTGTAAGTGTGTGCGCTCGGTTGGGCTGGCCAGCTTTAAAGCTTGTTACGTGGCTTGGGGATCACTGAGGAAGGTCATGATCCGTATGTGAACAGTGTGGAGTTCCCTCTGTAGAGAATGATCCTGGGGAGGGCTCATGTGACATGTTTCTCATCAGTGACTACTAAATAATCTTGACACCTGGCTAAAACTAAGTTGCTCTTTCAAGTTTTAATTTATTAGAAACAATTTGGCCTCTTAAGCACTTATTTTACGCGGGAGTCAAGATAAGATGTTTAAGTACTGTTACAGAAGCTCCTTTATGCTGAGAACAGTTTGCCCTGGTGCTAGAGGGCTAGCAGGGCGAAGGCAGATTCGGAGCAGCAAACCATCTGCCTACTAAAATGGAACTTGAAATTCAATTGTTATAAAGTAATGTGAAGAAAATACTATTTCTAGGATCTGGGTAGCAAAGACCTGAAAAGAGAGAAAATCAGTTTCGTCTGTCAGATTGTGCGAGTGGGCAGGATGGAGCTGAGGGACAACAACACGAGAAAGCTAACCTCTGGGCTGCGGCGACCTTTTGGAGTAGCAGGTAACTGTGTGCTGTAGATGTCTGTATCACATTCTATTCCTGCATAGAAAGCTGGGGGTGAAGCTACTGTGGGGTTGTTTAAAGTTTAAATGGTTCCAGATTTAATCAGACTGATTGCTGTATTGTAGAATTTACTGTAGCTTCCAGGACTTGTGTTGGCTGGAGATGCCAAAGGTTATTTGCAACATGGTGGTGTTCTATAGGAAGATTCTGAAACTGTGCAGTTGGTAACTCCATCCTTATTCCAGCCTTCCCAGGGTATTCCCTTGGCACCCCTCTTCCCATGTCCATAACTAAACTCACTACTCTTTGTTTTCAGTAATGGATGTTACCGACATAATCAACGGAAAGGTTGACGATGAGGACAAACAGCACTTCATACCATTTCAGCCGTAAGTAGGGAAAAGTTTCAAGAACATGCAGATGTGAGAGAATTAAGATTTTAACTTTCGTTAAAAACAAATGAACTTTTGATTGGTATAAGTGTTGTGTAGATAAGTTAATTTTAGTGTGGTATTTTAGCTTCAGTAGTACCCACTAATATTTCTTCTTGATTATTTCCTGTTAGTTATAACTCTAGAAACTTTGATTTTTAAATTTGGAGTTGAAAGCATGTGTTCCCAGTTTGCAGTCTTAGGTGATAATGTTGAAGATGTGAATTTTAAGATGTACTTAAAATAATTACATTGCTGGTTTAGCTCTGCCCAAGATTGGTGAAGATGAGCACCACCAGCATCTGCTGCAGATGTGAAATTATTTTCTCTTATTTGGTAGCAGATTTAATTTCATAGTAGGGGCCAAAGTAATTGGAACACAAACAAAGCTGAGGATTTGAAAGATGGCTTGATCTCTAGCAATATCTTCTCATAATTCTACTTTGTCACGGGACACTTGTACCGGAAGACTTGGGTATTTGGGTTGGCTGGTGAGGGAGAGGATGTGTCTGCTGCACATACCTGTGACAGCTGGTTCACAGAAGCAAGGAGACCAGGCTGCTATGTGGATGTGGTCTCATTTTAGCCATCTAAAGCAGCAAACCTTTCCACCCTGACTCTACGGTTGCTGATGTGGAGTTTGACAGATACTATTTTACAATAATTAAATTAGCTAATAGCAAATACGGGGTTGGTGTCCTTTAAAGTACAGCCATGTTGAGTTGAATGTAGTATCAAAGATCAGTTTTGGCTTCAAGCCACAAAATCACATTAAGAAGCAGGGGTTTAATAGCCTGTTTTTTTTGTGAATTTGTAGATCTGTGCAGAGAAAGTGATTTTAGAAGTAAAAGCTTATTAAGAAAAGAGAATGTGTGGCAAATGCTCTCTTCCACCTGCATTTCATAGGGGTGGGATTTTTATTCTATGAAGTGGGGAGAGGCAGAAGGAATAAGCAAAATGTGCATAAAATCGGAATGGTTGGTAATGAAATGTTACTGCCATCCATTCAAAAGTCAAAACATGGATACGTTAGCTAAATTTCTTGATTAATACACTAATGGATATTCAGAGGGTTTTTAATAATATTTAAAAAAATGCTGGAAATGCTGTAGTCTCAAATTAACTTTACTTTGGGAAATAGGCTTAAATCAGGAAGGTTTCGTGGTTGGAAGATGCAGGGCTGTTGGGAGGAGTGTGAGGTCCGCAGGTGCTGCAGGGAGCCGGGTGGCTGCACGCCTCGTGTCTGACACGTTTCGTTGGGATGCAGCAGCGTTGCTGGAGAGGTGTGGAGGGTGTTAGAGTGAAAATTGGAAGTAGAGTTCCATTTTTCAAGAAAAACGGCTTTTTAGGGAAGGGCGTGCTCATGATCTGTTTATTGTGTGGTAAACAATGGCAAGCTTACTTCTTTGTGAGTGTGGAAGTACGCACTGAAAATGAATCCTTGTGTATCAACGTGGATGCTAATGGAACATCTAGTCTTCTGCTCCATTAACACTGATTTATTTTTTCTGTATATAAATCAGCTTTTTGAAACAAAAATGTACAATGTGATTTTTTTTCCCCACCCTAAATTAAAACCTTCTTCTGAAAAAGTATATTCCAAACCAGATGAATAGTATGAAAACACAGGATAAATACTGGTGTCATTATTTCCAACGTAGACATAGGCTGTGTATATGAGGCACATATTTCTTCTCATTCCATACTTTACTTCTGTTGTACCACATGCAATTCTGTTTTCATATCTTTGTATTCATTCACTAGCCACCAACACAATGGTTGTCAAAAGCACTTGGCAAGATTACTTAAATGACACTTAATGCTGCTGTTCATAGTTTCCATCTCTTCATGTATTCATCAAGTTTAACATTTGGATTATCTGCTTTTCTACTCCTATGCCATTTCTATGAGATTTAAGGTAGCTTTTCCTGCGTACACGCTGCTGCTTAACCTAGAGAGTAGCAGAGGGGACCCTGGAGGTGCTGCAGGGCATGTCTGCTCTATGTATATTAGAGAAAGGTGCCTGTGTAGGTTCTCACCGCTTAGCAGGGAATGCTCAGGTGGGAGACTCCCTCCTGCCCTCGCAGAGTGTTACGGGGGGCCTCTGCGTGCATGGCCCTGCAGGGAGAAGTGATAACGCAAGCGTGCTGTGCTTCTCTGGGGTAGATCAGCGTTCTCCTGATTAATGATCTCCCTCTGTCTTTCTTGTTACCTTTCCTGTCCTTTGTCTTGCGTTGACTAATAAATACTCTTTGTCACAACTATGATATGATCTTGTGTGTTCCCTTGTTACTGTGACTTCTGGTTTTCTGTGACCCTTTGTTTCCTGGTGTTGGTCGTCATGTGCATCCTCCAGGCTAGCGTTGGATGACGCCATTCGACACAAGCAGCTGAACATATCATCCCGTTTTTCACCCAGGGTGGCAGGGGAGAATGATTTCCTTCAGACTGTTATAAACAAAGTGATTGCTGCTAAAGAAGTTAACCACAAGGGTCAGGGTATGTACAGTTCTTTATATACACCGGGGTTCCTAAAACTGCTCATCGCTTCGTCTGCAGTGTGGGGTGGTTTTAATTTTGGAATTGAGGGTGCATAATATTACCTTCGCTTACTTCACCTTGCCTTTTGGTAACAGAAAATTGTGTTTGCATGGTTTGTTCTCCCCCTACCCCATCCTTCAGGGCTCATTCTGCTGCTCCCTCCCCTCCCATCTCTGTGTAAACTCTACAGGGTATCTGGCCCTTCTTTGCTTTGTCCATTGCTTGGGCACCTTTATATTCATATACTGAGAGGATGGGGAGGCACGGGGACAGGTTCCCAGAGAAGCTGTGGATGCCCCATCCCTGGAAGTGTCCAAGGCCAGGCTGGATGAGGCTTGGAGCAACCTGGTCTAGTGGAAGGTGTCCCTGGCCATGGCAGGGGGTGGGACTGGGGGGCTTCGAGGTCCCTTCATACCTAAACCACTCTGATTTTGTTATTTCTCTACTGCAAGCAGTGGCTCAGGGAGTTGGCTCTTGTGCCCTTGATCTGCAGACTTTGGCCTTCTCATGTTGAAGGAAGGGATATTCTCTTCCTTTCCTTCCTTCATCCTATTTTTCCGCTTCACAGCTCAAGCAGATCAGGGCACTGCCCCTGCCAGCCCCACACCTGCTGAGCTCAGAGGTGATTGGGATGGAGCCAGAGCATGGCAATCTATCTAAATAAACTTAAATTGTCCATTAGCTAAAGATGAAAACTTAGATCTGCCTTTCCCCCCTATTTTCACCTGTGGCTGCTGTGTACCTGAAGGGAGGGAATATTTCAGCTGCTTTGATTTGTTTCAGGTCCTTTCCCTAGAAAGAGCACCCAGGCAAACAGCAAAGGGTTAAGAGCTGTGGCTTTGTCAGTCACTGTAGGTACAGGTGCTGTTGAATGCAACAGCAGCTGTTGGAACCATCTCTGGCAACATACAGCCTTTTATAAGACACTTTAATAGAAAAGTAAACTGCCATATATATAGAAAACGAATGCGTAGTTAATTGTGTGTGTAACAGGATAACCCACAATTTTTCGGTAGATGAGTATTTTCGGGGTATTTTTCATAGATTTTTTATTTTAGGTTTTTTTTTCTGCAAATTGCTGCTGTAATTATTTCATGCTTAAATTTGATTGCCAGTCACTTTACCAAGTATGTAAGACCTTTTTTTTTTTCCCTCTTTCTCTCTCCCTCCCTCCCCTGCCTTTTCCCAGTTCCCTGATGTTGCAAGCAGCAGCTTTTCTGCTACTGAGGAGAAAAAATGTCAACTGTGTAAAGCTGAGGCTGTAGTGTTTTCTTTTTTTTTGTGCTTAGTGCAGTAAAACAACTTCTGAGGGTGGTGGTGATGAATCAATTCAGGATCCGTATCTGCTGTTGGTGCCGTCTTTATTGGCATCTTGAGATTGGTTTAATACTTAAAATTTTCCCATTCAAATCAACATTGTCACTTCTTGTGTAAGACAAACGTTTCATTAGGAAGTTGAGAGTTCAAAGGGGAGATGAAAGCTTGAGGCAGTTCTGCTGATGGATTAATAACCGTATTTACACTAGACCCTTTGTGGAAGACTTAGGAGAGAAGTTTGGTTCTCCAGGAGGGGATCTTTGGGCTTGTTCTGCCTTCGTGCCAAGGGCACAGTAGGCCTGCTTCCATTTCACAGCCCAGACCTGAGTAGGCTCAGCGATACCCAAAGGTTTCCTTCTTCCAATTTGTCGTAGGGTGCTGCTAACCTGTTTGTCTTATGAATGGAGACCTGTTCTATTGAAATTTTCAGACTAGTAATAAAATTTTTGGCTTTAGTAAGCCCCTGTATGGGAAGCTCTATGCATCTGCTTTTGAGCATCTGCTTAACTCCTCCCTACCGAGACGCTTTCTAGATGGTCTTGCTGCAAACTGCGCTGTGCAAAGGCCTGAATCCGCCTCTTGCACAGATCTCCGGTGTCTCAGGTTATTTAGTAGCTAGCCAGTTTCCAGGTGAGGATTTTTATACAGCTTCCCAGAAAATCTGGTGTAATCAGACATACTCCTGTGTGCTGTATGCATGTTTCTGCTTGAAGCAGTGGGGTGTTTCAATTGTTTTAAAATACTTTATAAAATGCATTTTTGGTAAATAAAGAGCAATGACCTTAAGGTATGTTCTTACATTTTAGAATGTGTATAAAGAAATCTTCAGTAACTAGAAAACAAACACCAGTTTAATACTTGTGGTTTTACCCAACAGGTTTGTGGGTGACTTTGAAACTTCTTCCAGGAGATATTAATCAGATTAGGAAAGAGTTTCCACATTTAGTGGATAGGTCGACAGCCGTGGCTCGGAAAATGGGGTTTCCTGAGATTATTATGCCTGGTAAGCCATTGTGTGAAATAATGCTGCTTTGTATTATTTTACTATTCTCTAAATATCTGTATATATGGAAGCATTGTGGAGGGGAGGGAAGATGAATCAAGGTATTGTATACATTAGAAATAATGGATCATCAAAGGATTTGGTTTCACTTAAACGTAAAATACGCTGGTAATACCTGCCACACGTGCTGCATAAATCCATAAACTAACAACTCCTCCCAGAAGATGTGATATTGCAGTGACAGTGGAAATTGTTATTTTTCTCCAGTCAAGAAAAACGTATGTAAAGTAAATGCTTCCTATTCTCTCCCTAGCAAGGGCATATGTAAAACTTCCCTCCTGTGTTGAGTCCAAACCAGAAAGATTTTTCAGAAGAACAGGCTTTATTAGATATGCAACCCTCCTAGGGATTGTACTGGATTTGGATAATGTATTTGAAAGAGAACCATATTGTCTTTTTTAAATACATCGATGTCATGGATGTTCAATTCTGGTTTTTACACAAAAATCAAAAGCCAAGAAAGTGGTACTTCTCAAAATAGAAAAACGCAGTAAGCAATGGACTACAGAAAAAACCCTGCACTGTCCTTTCAGATTGATGGGCTCTGGAGGATCCATTAGATATTTTCAAAAGCCATCCCTGTTCCAGCTCTCCCTGTGATTGCTGACTGTGCGTTACCAGATATTGTACTGTATACCCAGCGTGGTGTAAGTGCCTCGGCACCTCTGCTTGTGATGTTCCTATGCTGGCATGTAAACCATCCGCCTCGTGAAATTATTGGGCATCCCCTGTCTCCAGAATTCACTTGCAAAATGTCAGTTGAATTGGGGTGTAGTTAAAGGCCGTTTTAAGACATTGAGCTAAATACAACCCTCCCCTGCAACCCCCAAGGCAGCAAAACCATCAAACCACTTTCTGATGTAACAAGTTACAGACCTCTGTAAGCTGTTTAAATATTTTAAAATTGCGAAGTACCTGTATATGGGATAAAATAATGACTTAAATTGATTCTTTCATGTTAAGAATGAAAGACATTGTATAAAACAACTCCAAACAGAAAAAGAAACGGAGGTGGGTTTTGAGTGATACGGTACATACTGTTAATGATGATGTGATATTCTTTCAGTCCAGAATAATGTGTGATTTATTTTTGTTAGATTCAGCTTGCTGCATTACAAGTTGATAGTTCAGACTTCAGAAAGCCTTAGCACAAGCTTAGCTGAACAGCTGTTTTCAGTACTACTGCTTTTGAATTTTTGAGATATCGTAGCTTCTGAGTGTTTTGCCTTGTATGTGTGTCGTTGCTGTTACTAAATCGTGTTGGTGGTTGTTTCTGTGCATCACCCGTTTCGCCGATCAGTAGGTGTACTGCGAAAATTGCTCAGAACTTCGTGCTTGGCTTTTTCCTTCAGGTGACGTTCGTAATGACATCTATGTGACATTGGTTCAGGGCGACTTTGACAAAGGCAGTAAAACAACGGCCAAGAATGTAGAAGTTACAGTGTCTGTTTACGATGAAGATGGCAAAAGATTAGAGGTATTGAAGTATTTAACACCTTGGGTTCTTGACTTTGGTACATATCTCCTTAAGCCTTTTCAACATTTCTCTGTATTTGTCAACTTAAGTCACTATTTTTATTTACATAACAACTTTCTCCTTTATCATAACTAAATATCTCTTGTCACATCAGTGAATGCACTTTGATGCTAATTTCATGGGGAGCTCAGTGTGAGCCCTTCTGTCTTTGGACCTGTTTCAATAAATCATTGTTTGTTTGAATGAAAAAGTGATGTTTAAGATAGACATAAACATTTTCTTTTGTTTGTGTTTTCAAGAGTGTTATTTTTCCTGGTGCTGGTGATGAAGCCATCTCAGAGTACAAGTCAGTCATATATTATCAAGTAAAGCAGCCTCGCTGGTTTGAGACCGTAAAGGTATATAAACTGTTGCAATAACTTGTTCGGTGTAGGTTAAAATGCAAATCATACAGGTTTCAGTGGAAAGCAACAGAACTAGGGAAAGTCGCTGTAATTTGTTTAGCAGGTCAAAAGGTTAGTTCCTTAGTTCAGCTAGGAAGCTTTTCAGAGACTGCTGGGAAATAGATTTGGCTTTTATTGCATAATGTGTTTTATTTCATCCTCTTGGTCAAGATGACTGTTAGAGGGGCACTCCAACATCTGGGTAGGAACGGTATACACCATTTCCATGGAGCTGACCTAGAGAAGCAGGGTATTAAGGTTAAACCATAATGGCCATAGTGTTGACCCCATCAGTGTTTTGGGTTGTGGCTGATTGTGCTTTAAGCTTGCTGAATTTGCTCGGGTAATAAAACTTGGCATTTAAGCTAAAATGTTAATATTATAGAGGAGGCTTATGTTAGCTTTATAAAATATATTCTGTCTAGCTGTAGTCAGTGGGAGCATTATATGTGTACTGGGAAGGGACTTAAAACAGTGTGAGGAGTAGCTGTTTTAATGAAAAGGCGCTGTTGTTGCATCTATACACATAAAGTGGCTGTTAGAGAACGGCAGAAACCAAGACATGGGATTGGGGAGCAGCATACATGACAGAGCCTCTGTGTGGGGGTGACTAAGAAAATACGATGGCTCTAGTAAAAATACTTGGAGAGACAAGTGTTGGTTCCATCTCTGCGCACTGGTTACACGTGGGTCAGAGGTACACTGATAGTACAGGTGGTACAAGTGTCGCGTAGGTAGCGAATGCGTTAAGAATTTTTGCTTTGCTGCTGTTGATCAGCTCACCTCTACCAGTCGCACTCGAGAGGGGCTCATTCCTGAGCTGGAGGGAGTGATAGAGGTCAGGCTTTGAGGTTACAGCCCAGCATCTGAAGTTGCAGGCCTTGTCGGGTAACTTAAAAGGCTTGCTTCATTCCTCCTTTCTTGGTGCAGGACTTGGGGATTTTTCCGGGGAGTCTGTGACCTTTCAAGGTCTTCGATGGCAAAATGAAGCTGGTACTTAATCCTTTTGAAAGAGCCAAGCATATTGTTGAAAGATGTCTAGATGAGATTCGGTAGAGGCTGATGATGTTTGAAGGTCCCGTACTGACTGTTTTCTTTCTCCATCCTCTTTCCCAATATGTGAAGGTCGCAATCCCCATTGAAGATGTGAACCGCAGTCATTTAAGGTTCACGTTCCGTCATAGATCATCACAGGACTGTGAGTAATTCAGCCTTTTCATTATGGTTCTTGTCAGTGGCTGGTGCCAAAATCTGCTGAAACAGGCATAATGTTCTTAATCTGTAATTGCCTATTGTAATTGCTTTTAATGTGGAGAGAAGTCTTTTGCCTGCTTATTTTATGTTAGTGTCTCAGCTTCTCTTTCCCATTACATCTTCCTCACTCTTGCCTACTGACATCAAGTTTTCCCTTTCCTGCCCAGGTAGTTCTCTGGTGGGTGAAATGGGAATGGAAAAGAATTTACAGCGGGCTCAGGATTGATAATGGACGACTTAGCTATTAAGAAACTTGGTTTCCGCTTCTGGTTCTCAGGCTGACTTGTGGTTGTTTTGAAATAATTTTGGTCTAAAAGATATTTGAGAGCTTGTGGTTTTCCTCCGCTCTCCTGTAATGCTGCTGGAGGATGAGCTGCTTTGAGCTCTTGAGAATCAGATCGAGACAGCGAGACTCCTTCCATTTGTCAAGTTTTGTAGTAAAGTTGGGGGATTTGCCTTGGTTGGGATAATGTTCATTCCATACAGTGATTCCAGGGGCTTGCCTGACAGGAAAGCCTTTCAAAATCTGCAGCAAACTTCTTTGCTGTAGAATAAATGCGTAGAAAAAAGTCATTAATCCAGCAGCGTCCACTGTTTTGAGATGTGCAATAATCTTCATGTGTACTTCTGTGTAATGTGGTTATTTGACTGGAGCTGTGTACTTTGCAAATAGTTCATTAATAAAAGATTTGCTTACTTCAGAGAATGATACTTGCCAATAAAAACCATGTGCAGAAAATTAGTGTTGTTAGTGTAAAAATTGTGATTGTGCACTACAAATTCCTGGAGTCAGAAATATGTTTATGACTCAAATTTTTAAGTTGGCCATGGTTTAAATACTTCCTAGAGGCTGTGCTGCAGGGCTCTCTCACAGGCTGCCTGGGCTGTGTCAAGCTGATTGCCCTCCCCTTCTGGTTTTACTTACATTGTGGTTTCTGCTTGCCCTGTTGCTTTGATTTTATTTAACTTTTGATAATGGGCTTTGAACAATGAGACCAAACTGAATTCCAGTTCATATTAGTTGGTGAGTGGGTCAGCTTTCAGAAACTTAGGAACTTCATTTGTAATTACAGATCCAATTTCATTTTTGGTTCTAATATTCCCTCTAGAAATGACAGAGACCTGATGAGATCCTCAGGGCTGGTCTTAACTCATTAATCTAGGTACCAAGGACTGCCATCCTTATAACTCCAGAAACCTGAATGTTATAAATGCATCAAATTTCTGTTGTGTTTTGAAAAAAATTGCCTTAATTCAGCTTTCTAAATGAGCACACAGAGTGTAGAAATATTAAGCAACTTGTTACTGTTGCCGTGGCCAGATTCTTAAGCATTCATTTCTCGTACTTCTGGTTCTGTCTTGAGTTTAGGACGCTCTCCCTATTCCTTGTAGCTTTTCTCCAGTGGGAAGTCTTCACTATGGTCATTCATTTCTAGGTTATCCATGTTCTTGAGAGAGCTGTCTGCACTAGTATCAACTACTTAATTGTGCTTGTTTGTTTGCTTTCTAACAGCCAAAGATAAATCTGAGAAAATATTTGCCCTGGCATTTGTGAAGCTCATGAGATACGATGGAACAACTTTGAGAGATGGAGAACATGACCTTATAGTTTACAAGGTAGAAATTTTGAGATACTTCAGGCTTTCCATGGTAGCTGTGAGCACGGCTGACTTTTCAGTGAATTTTTGGTACAGAATTGCACAGAAAAACATGTCACAGACTATTCTGTTAGATCAAGTAACTAAATAGCAAGTACTATGCAATATGCAAATTTGGCAGATCAGTTGTTAAACCTGGAGTATATTTTACTGGGCATGTTTTAATTTTGAAGGTGCTTCTTACTGAGTCTTATGTATGTTTTCATGACTGGGAGAGATTACTTCTCCAGCCTTATAAATACCATATCTTGTCTCTACTCTATAGACAGCTTAGTGCTAAATTACTGTTGCCAAAAACCCATTGGATAACTCCATTTCTGGAGCAAAGCTAGGAATAATACAGTGTAAAATATTAACATTTTATTATCACCAAGGCTTTTTACCAAATATTTTAACATTGTTTCATACTGTGTTTAAAACACTACTGTAGGCAGAAGCAAAGAAGCTGGAGGATGCCTCTACGTATTTAAGTCTGCCATCCACTAAAATAGAATTGGAGGAAAAGGGACACTCTGCAACAGGGAAGAGCATGCAGAACCTTGGGAGCTGCACCATCAGCAAAGACTCTTTCCAGATTTCTACTCTGGTTTGTTCAACAAAACTTACCCAGAATGGTAAGTTCACGGAACTGCTGGAGCTCCTTGCAGTTGGAGTGGGATCGTATGCACTGACCTTCCTGCCTTCTCCATTCCTCTGAGTGGTTAGTGGGTTGTTTGCCATGCAGTCTTGGATGAAACTACCTGGATGCAGCAAAAGCATCTACTGTGTGTATGTGTGCTATCCAGCTTTTCTCTGCCTGTGGGCTTTGTTTTGCTTCAGAGCAGTGCATGTCTCTGAGAAAACAGAAGAGTCCAAATTAAACGAAAATGAGAATATTGTTTGCTGGAAAGTTGAGACTTTTATGCTGAAGGATAGTGAAAACTGGCTCTGTGGCATTTGGCTTCTCTGTGGCTATGAATAATAGCACTAAGGAAGAGGATGAGTTTGCTTTCAAGAGTAGGTGATGATATTGCTCTGCTCCTAAATAAACAGGTGCAGTATTCAGATGTTATGCCTGAAGAAAGCTCTGATGTTTTCCTGTGTTGGGCAGAAGGGATGTGAGCCTGAGAATGGGTTGTGTGAAGGGCACTGTCATGTTACTCACTAGTGACAAGAGAAGGGTAACTGGTTTGAATTGGAAGAGGGGAGATAGAGATTGGACAGCAGGAAGAAATTCTTCCCGGAGAGGATGGGGAGCACTGGGACAGGTTGCCCAGAGAAGCTGTGGATGCCCCATCCCTGGGAGTGTCCAAGGCCAGGCTGGATGAGGCTTGGAGCAACCTGCTCTAGTGGAAGGTGTCCCTGCCCATGGCAGGGGGGGGGGACTGGGGGGGCTTTAAGGTCCCTTCCCACACAAACCGTTCTCTGATTCTATGTTCACACATGCCCCAAACCATTCTCTGATTCTATGTTCACACATGTTCCCATGAACACAGAGTACCAGGAATGGAGTTGGCATATTTTATTCCTTTTAAAACTTGCCTTATATACATGATTCATGTGCAATTGTCAGCTGGTTGACTGCATCCAAAGGCTGTAGAAAGTAGAGCTGATGGCAGCCACCAAAGCAAATATTGCACATTTCCAGACTCTGCCCTCTCTGTAATTTTTGTGCTTTGTTGCCATGGAATGATCCCTTGTTCTCTTCGCTGCATCGGGAGCAGAGTCGGGAGTGTGGGTGGGTCATTGCGATGTGAGTGAGTCATGCCAGGGAGAGGGATCATTCCTCCCTGACTCACGAGAAGGGACGGCTTCGTTCCAATAGGTCTGCTGGGAGTCGAGGTTGTGGATGAGAAGAGCTTGGGACGCGGGGGGGTGAGAGGGAATAATGATTGGATTGTCACGCTGATGAGTTCTCCACCATCCAGGGGGAAAGTTACTACTCTGGTGTGACTTGACAGTCCTGTCACAGTTTTATTGCGGTGTTTTTCAGCGGCATCTCTGTTACAGCACATCCTCGGTGTTTCGTATGCAGAGCACATCGGATTCACTGCAGTCTGGCAGGCTTATAGCCTAAGAGGGTGTTTAGCAAAAAAATGGGAAATGAATTTCGAGTTTCATAGCAAAGATGGCTATGGTTCATGGCTCAACAGGAACAGGGTGGTGTTGGGGTTTTGTAGAACACAGAAACCAGTGTGTGGAATTCAGCTGCCTTTTTGTCTGTGATTATGATTTGGGTTTTTTTTTTTTCCTGTCTTTCCTAGTGCTTATCAGGAGTTAGATGTATTTCATAGTGATCAATAATATATTGACATCACTTTCACAGAACTATTACTAAAATCAAGACAGAGCATTGTTTCATGCTTAATTTACATATAATTTCCATGGAGAAAAAGTTTCACAGACAACGTAATTCATAGTAATGTTAACTAAAGATCCAAAGTTCAAAAGTTGCCAAAGCCTCTTCTATTTCTTCAAAGTATTTTGACATTATTAAACCAGATCACCACGTCCTAAGCAATTTAGAAAAGAAGAAAAAAAAATCATCATTAAATTTCTCCCTCAAGTATCATTTTACTTCTAAAAATTGGCAGCGCTGTTCAGATTAGTTTCTGAAGCTGATTTTTAACTTCTGTAAAATTGTTGATTAATATTTTTCCTTTAACTTTCTTTAAGTGAGTAAAAATCCATGACTATCCTCATTTGCCAAAATATTGAGTCAAAAGAAATTTTTTTTTTATTTTTGGTCATCTATAACAGTTCTTTCTTCATCTTCCATAAGCATTTTAGAATTGGCTGAAAGGCTTATTTTTAGCAATTCTGAAAGTATGTTAATAAATCATATGGCTCTTTCTACCTTGTAGTTGATGTTGCTAACTTTTTGTATATAAGCTCTTTGAATGTTCACTTAATTTCAGTTCTCGATGAACTGGAAGCTGTAAATGTGGCTTTTCTGTTAGTAATTGATGTCCTTAGCATCTGAAAGGTCTCCAAAATAGCAAACTAGGCCACTGGTAAGACTTCAGCTTTTTTCTTTGGGAGAAGGTGGTAGCATGAAGTATCTACTAGGTGAACGTTTGAACAGTTGATAATGATTTGTGGCAAAATATATTGGTAGCAACACATCTCCTGGCTTTTTCTTAGGTTTTGCATTTGCTTTTGAGGAGGAGTAGCAATGTAAGTTGAAGAGGAGGGACTGTTTAAAAACCAACAAAAAGAAAAAAAGCAACCCAACCTCCTTAAGAATGAGGGAGAACATCAGCTCTGGGAGGCGTCAGGAGCTGTTGCTCATGGTGACTGGGCAGGGTTCATCTCTGCCATCTGAGGCAGAGAAGGATATTCTCCCTGTATCTCGGAGACTTGGGCAGTACATGTCTCTCTTTTTATTTGGCTCAAGACTTTCTGTAGCAGGTGTGCTTACGGGCCAAAGAAACACTGACATAAACACCAAGTGCCTTTTTATGTAATGAAAGGGAGCTTCTATATCTAAACTCCAGAATTCCTACCAAATTTGTGCGGGAGTGGTTGTTGCTTTTTATTGGTTTTCTTTGGATTTGTTTGGGATTTTTTTTTTAAGGTCAGAAGTGAGAAATTTGGTGCAGTATGTTATGGGATGTCTGCTTGCAGTTGCTAACATCTCAGTAGACCTCTCTGGGGTGGGAAATGTTGTGCCTCCTGTTCTTAGGGTAAATGGATAGCAAGGTCTGTTTTGAGTCAGTGCCTGATGTCATGTCGATGTCAGGGTTATGTGTGGATCTTTTCCTTTTTCCAAGAGGCCTGTTGAGCTGTGACAAACTGAGGTCTTGTTTCTTCTGCATAGGCAAGGCAGTTCTGGTATTTGAATCTTATTTTTCCCTCAACTAGAAGTTGGAGATACCAGGGAATACAAAAGGAGGGGCATAACGTCATCAAAAGGGATATCCTCCTCTATGTGAAGCCTGCCTGTGGTCTTGCCAGCAATCTTACCAGTGCCTCTTAGAGGACTACCAGGATGGATCTCCTTTTCTTACCAGGGTGATGGGAATAGGACTGGAATTGCATTCATGGCTTTGCTGTGAAATTGTCCTTATTACCAGTAGCCGGAGAGCTTCTTAGTGTTCTACCTGTGTATTTACTTCGGTGAACCATCCAGGCTGTCTGTACGGCTTACTGAAAGCATTTCCATGTTTTCTTTTCTGCCTGAAGGACTCAAACCTATGGATAAGAGTGACTGTTACTGATGTGGAGTCAGGCCTTCAAGGAACCAAGGAGACTAGGCTTTCAGAAAATACTTGAGAGGAATTTCACTTTGTCATTCAGCACAACTGATAATAAATGAAAAAAACCCAGTACTCAAGAAATTACAAATTCAGGTGCTACAGTGGCATAAAAAAGATGATGTGAATATAGAATTATAATAAAACAAGTCATAAAGAGTGGAAAATGAAATGCTTAAAGGCAAGAGGGAAGATAATTTCTAAGAACACATGGAATTTAATTAGAGTGGAAATACTATTTAACTTCAGTGACTAGGCTTTCAGAAAAGTTTGGGTATCTCTTCCATAGATAGAGGTCAGGAAATGTATATAACAGGGAAGTTGGGCCATTTGCTTCCAATTGCTAATTAAGCTGTTAAAATATCTTTGTATGTTGTCAATATAATCAGAATTTACCTTCACCCAAATAAAGCTGCTGGTGGCTACTAGGCAGGCTAGATGTTTGTTCTAGCCCTTTACAGTTGAAAATCCTTGTTCTGTTGTCTTCCTCTGATATTTTCTGATCATATAAATTGCACCTGACCTAGGCTGACTACAGTAATTACTATTTACTGTAGGCTAAAATGCTGGTTTACATTTTTATCCTGTTCTACCTCCTCTATTATTTTGTACCCAGAGCTGTTAAAAGAGTAGCATTAACTGACTGCCTGGTGCTTTGTTGGGGTTAATGTTTGCAGGCAGAGAGCGAATGCACATTTTGACTGTACAGTGTAACTTTGCAGGTAGGTGGACTGCGTTGACATTTTCTGTTCACATATGTATATTCATGTGGTGTTTGCTGTGTCATCACTTCAAGTACATGTGGGTTTGTTTTCTTGGGCTGGTACACGATGCCATTCAGAGAGAGTCCGGGGGCTGGGTTTTGTGCAGATCATTTCTTTTGTCAAGCTGGTGCCTTTTTGAAGTCAGACTGAAATAAATTCAGTGGTGGAAAGCTGATTCATGAAACACTTGGACAACTCATGGAGGCATTTCAACTTTTCTTCCACAAGCAATTCTTCTGTTAACGCTGAGTTGAAGACTTTGGTTTCAGCCTATAGACTTCTTGTAGCATATGTTAAAAATAAACAAAATATTAAAAAACTGAGAGCTTGGATTATTCAAAGCATTAATGTAATAAACCACTCTTTACTTCTACTCCCAAAGAGGTGGTAAGAAGGAGTGGTTCGAGTGCTTGCTCTGCAGGGAATATGTCCCAAGGACAACTGCAGTCCATTCCACTAGAAGCAATTTTATTTATTACTTAGAATGGAAGATTTTGGGCAAAGTGTAGCAGCTGCTCTGGGTCTGTGTGTGTAATTTCCAGACTATGTTCTGCAGATGTGTGCCTCGGAACACATTTTGTTGCTTTCTTTGAAAGCCTGAATAAAAGAAGTGTGGGGGTATTGATTGGAAGAAGCCATCTGTCCTTACTGTTTGAGTTAGGCTGGGCAGAAAACACATCAGATTAACCATACTGGGT